AACACTTGAGCCGCGTTTCAAAAAACTTCTTCAAAAGCCTAGTTTACTTAATAATAGCCTTTTCTTCCACGGATTTAGGAATAAAAGTTAAGGAGCGCTCCAAGACAGAAAAGATTTCATTTGAAAGTCATTTAACTTAAAAAGTTCATGAAAAATGGAAGCTTTTCATTCAATCTAGGAGTCAGGGCGTAAAGACAAACTGCAACGGATCCAGGTAAAACGGAATAGAATTGAATTTTCAAGATAGGTATACATGACCGGAATGTGTGAATTTCTAGGCATATAATTTGTAGACTTAACTTTATTATCACAGAGACATCAGAGAAACTTGTCTGCCAGTCTGTCCGAGTAGGGATTTATACTAAAAAGAAACAAATTTTTATTTTTATTTTGAGCTGTAGGGAAAAGTAGTACGACTACTTCAGCACAGTCAGTCTCATGCCCCATGACTCGATCTTTGGTCATCATTATAGCCTTGATCACACGTACCGAGTAATCGGGCGAGACAGTGCTCTCGGCCGAGTACTCGGTGCGTATGAACATAGCGCCGAGTGATCGGCCGAGCAAAGAGCAAAGCGACGAGACAGTAGCTCGACTCCCGTTCAACTTACTAGGCCGAGTATCCACGCTCCCGCTGTCCCGCATTGTCTCGCTCGCTCGCTCGATGATTGACGTCACGTCCACAGATTAGAGAAAAAGAAAAGTTTCAATAGAACTGAACTGACTGTGCTAATTTCAAAAGACGTGTGAACAACATCACTGTCTCGACCAAGTAAACTACTCGCCCGTCTACTCGCCCGAGTGGGCGAGACAGTAAAATGATACTAGGCCGAGAGAGTTGGGTGAGCGAGTCACCTACTCGAGCGCTCGGCCGAGCACTCTGCGTAATGGTTATACACACCGAGTACTCGGCCTAGAGCACTGTATCTCCCGTTTGCTCGGTACGTGTGATCAAGGCTTGTGTGTTGTGGCAATGGCTCGTGCCACAACTCCCGGTTTGTAACTTTCTTAAGTGCCCAATGGATTGAGATCCTCAACCAAGACTTATTTCACTTTTCTATATGGGGGTTGGTCCTTGAAAACGATTCGTTTTCGGTCGGACTGAATAATTTCAACACTCCATCGTAATTTATGAAAGGACTATGAATAAATGATGAAAGCTACTCCCGTTGAGGTTCTGTGGTTGGTACCACTTAAAATAAAATAATTAAATATTAAAACAAAAAATTTAATATTATATTATTTAAGTTACAAAGGATTATAATTTAGGAAATTGAAATAAACGACTTTTACTCGTTTAAGCACAACATAACCCTTACAATAACTTTAATGAAACAAATTCTACGGTCAAAACAGCAATATTTACAGCCTACCTTTGATACTTTGATCTTTATTTTTATGATAATAAGAAATATTTCGATTCAATATAAAGCGGTACTATTACATCCCCGAAGGCGCTCTGAAATTAAAACATACCCTCCATCTGAACTCAAAGGCATTAGGCATACTTTACCTGATAACTCGCTACAATTTGTTCTCAGAACATAATGGATTCACAAGTTACTTTAAACTTGAAAGTTATTTAAACACAATATTCTTTATTCATTAAGAAAATGGAGCCTTTTAATGTAAGTGCAGAAACATTAGAAAATGAACTCTGATGCTTTCAGCTATATTCAAGGGCAAGGTCAAGTGCATAATAACACAGCAGTTCAGTATTTATTGAACTTCTTTCACACCAACGTATTGTCCGCTGCATTTGGATTCTCTCATCTGGAGGTCTTAGGCTGAATTTCTAGGTGGTGGGACACAAAACTGAAATACCGATTTACCAATATTGTTTTTTTATCCAAAACTATGAAGCTCTTGGCCTGTATCTCACCTGATGGTAAGTGACGATCAGGCCGAAGGTGGAAGCGAGCTTCACCCGGAATCCTCAACCATAGAGGAACTGGCTATCTTACCTTTAACTGCCAGAACACAATAATGCTGTTAACATTGTTGTTATGGCGACAGACTTAATCAATCAAATCAAATTATCAAAGTTAATGTCATTGCAGGGTAAAATATAACATTCTATTAGTACGGGACTATTCCCACCTCTCGTTCCCTCTGCAAATCGTAGGTACGAGTATGTAGCCTTGATCGCCAATAAAAACCCAACCAGTAAATACATAATACTAACTGTTGGTAGGTAATTGACATTTTAGTCCGACGCAGTTGTCCCAAAATTTTCCGTCTGCGATGCTGCACTCAGACGATATGATGATTGACGGCTGTTTCGAAACGACTTATTTGAAAGAGTCCTCGACGAATAACTGTTTCGATTAGCTATGACCCTATAGCGGCTCGACAAGACTGACATTAGGGTTGTAACATAATCATTCTTAATATTTACATTTTGTAATTTCAAATTGTGAATACTTTAGTAAGTGTTATTAATATTCCTCCATTGTACTTAGTCAATTTCATGAGAGCTTTCAAATACTCATCTAATTTCAGACAAGATTCCTTTGTAAGACAAGACGAAAACGTAAAGGTAATTTTCCGCAGCGTAGTTAATTTGAAATATTTCTTTTTTATTATTTAAGTAGCTGTGCGACTTCATACGCATGAAAACAGTTTGACTAATATTTCCCATTTTTGCAATAATTTTCTTTACTGGTCCGCCCTTATTGGTTGTAAGGTTATATTACTTAACTACATGTAGGTAATATTTATGTATAGCTTAAAGCTTTTCTCGATAACTGGGTAGTTTCTGAGATAAACGCGTTCAAGTATTAGGTAGTATAGATATTTAATAATTTAAATATCTTAGTTTTGTATTAAAACCTTCAAATATCGGTGTACCAAAGTTGCAAAAACTCCTCTGTTCTTTTTTTACATTTCTTCACGTTTTAACACGGTGATTTGAAATCTTTCCTTCGCGTAAATCTCCTTTAATTTTGAAGAAGGGTATACTCCAGGGCGCCTGTGCAGTTATTTCTCTGCATTAAGGGCCCCAAATGCTTTAAATGGGACATTAGCTCTGAAACAACCTGTTTATTGAAGCGATAATAATCTCAAAATTACGTTTTACCGTCATATTTTGTATTTGCTTAACTGTTTTCAAAATTCAGGCTCCTTGTGAATAAAATAGCACTAAAGGCTGATTTACACGTAGTTGTTACATGCAATTATAGAACTCACTTGAAGATTAAAATTTAAGTTTCCTACTTAAGAACTTAATACTTACATGTACTCGTAAATCAGCCTTTAACGAGTATAACAATGTCACAGTAGAAATCTATAAATGCAAAAATAAATGATAGAGAAAAATACAGCTTAGTACCTACATATTTATGTACTGTAAATACATAAAATCGACAGGTTTAAAACATTGTAATAAATGAAATTAGGTTTAATTTTAAAAGAGTGAGTTTATTGAGAATATTTTATTTTTTCATACAAGTCAGAGGTTCTCATTATTATCAATGACGTCAAAGAGTTGGGGCAGCAAAAAATAAGTGAACAGCTCTACAAGTTGCTTTATTCCTGACTGGGAGTTCCTTTTAGAACGTAGGTGCTCACTAAGATGGGATTTTTCAAAATTCAACCCCTAACTGGGTAAAACGGGATCCACGCTTACGAAGTCGCGGACCGCGCCGCTAGGGAATTATAATGGTGAAATAATTTTTCAAAACGGTCCAGTAGTTTTCGAGACTATTCAATAAAATAATCAAATCTTTCCACTTTGTATGTTAGTAGAATAGATTTTGAAATGTTCTTTTAATTTTCGACTATCGATTTATTTAAGCTTTCCGAGGAGTCGGTATTTATCAACATTTTTAAAGGTAAAGACACAGCCTCCAAAGGCAGTGCAATAAAGCTTAGATTGTATCGAATGAATCGTGAAAAATCAAGCTTTAGCTTTACTTTTACTTATTGTGTCACGCTTGGCAAAATGTAACGTACACCGAATGAAAAATTATGGCATAGACATTATTAAGTTAGTTTAAATCATATTCACGACACAAAACTACGATTTCATAATGACTCGCACTGACAGTATGCACTTTTATCATGTTCTTGAACTAGTGATAATGGTAGAGCGGGATGAACGAGAGTTAGAACGAGACGGGCGATATGGTTATGGCTTTTATCACCTGTTGAGTCGTGTTGGTTGACCATGCATGCGTGTGACTCACCGGAACTTCGAATTCGATGTTCAAACGACCATTCTTTAGCATTATCGATACTGGAACTTTTTTAATTATTGTCATCGATTTCCTATTGTTTTAGGGAGAATTGTTGTTTGTAATTTCATTACTTTTTTCTGGCGGTAATTTACATTGGTCATAAAGTTTATGTCAGTTGTTTTTATTGATCGTAACTTACTAATTAGAAAATTAAAACAATGTTGTAACATATTAGTTAATTTTGTTCATAAAACCAATTTTAATGCAAATATTATCTTTCTTACTACATTATTTATAATATTAGAGACATTTTACATGGAAATACTAGCTTAAATTGTTCTGTGAATATTAAATTGCTGCACCCATTTCAACACGGAGGAGAGTCGGTGCGCTTCAAACAAAGTTTTGAATTAATTCTATTAAATAATAAATAGGTGTGCTAAACTAGCGACTTAGTTTAAAACTTTGTTTTGCGGCTTATGTCTTTCAGTAACCTTATAACATGAATATTTTATTTTCAAATAGGATTATGTTTCATTGCCATCGTACTAATAACTTAGGAAAATATATTTATTAAAATGTAATTCAAAAGAAATTACAGCTGCAATCAAAATCAAACAAGGAAATCGGGAATGCAGGAGCACTGCCCGTGTCGATATAGTATAAAAAGTTTCTTTTGGAGTGCCGTGAGATAACAAATGACGAAACAATGACGCCCATGATGAGAGATGGTAAGGTAAGGAAGGAGGCATTCGAACCCCCCGCGTGCGCTGCGCGACGTTGCCGGCCCGCCAGGCTGCAACGAGACTCGTTGCCGTCCGTCGCCCGTCCGGCCCGTCATTCGCGCGGTACCTTCCACACAGCGCCCGCGTACCACCGCGCCGCCCGAAAGCGCGCCGTCACAAACAAACTTACATGTTCACTTTTCGCCGTTCCAAACCAGTTCCATTCAAACAATCCTATTAAAACAACAGATCTATCACAACCTCCACCAATAAAACCCCCGCAACGAGTTGGGCTTTAACCACGGAGGTGTTGTAACTTCGAAAAACTTTACAAAGTTTGTTTTTAAACTGTACGTGTGCATGTGTGAGCTTAAAGTCATGGCTGGACGAAGTCCCCACTAAACCGGTAAGTAAAACGGACTTTACTGGAAAATAATATTCGAATTAGAATAGATTTTGTAACCGCGTGGGAGCAGATTATGTTTTCTTTGTTATTTTAGATTATTGAAACAAAGCGACGGTGTAATCAGTTGATATTTTATGTTAGAATTGCATCCTCGATGGTGTCGGCAACTACTTTACCACAAAGACAACGATATGATCAACAAAGGCGTTGTTTATTAACGTTTATTTCTAGGAACTGCAGCGCGGTTTGAAAACTTAACACAAAGTTATTGTCACTTGTTATCATGTTCTTGGTATCATATTGCTTACGATTGTCTTGAAAGGAGACCAAGTAGAGATTATTTTCCATATACCTACTCGTAGAGCTGCAAATCTCATTGGTTGTAAGTATTATAAACGTGTTTTCTTTGGAAAAAGAGGACTCCAAGAAATAATTACGTATATTTAATGTAATTTAGTTATTCTTTAGATCGAATAGGTACATTTTGATGATTCTGCTTTTATTGTAGCATTATATTTACTTTAAGACAATAACTCATCGGAAAAAGTAGAGTCGCTGTAAAAAGAAATTTGAAATTGACTAAAACTTGCTTATCAATTTTCAGCTGTGTTAAAATTAGTCATATTCTTAAAAAAACATTTATTTTTATTCATTTATAACTGGATTTTGACCGTGTAGGAGTATTGTTACGTATTCAACATTGTTGGTAAGCCGTGAGTAAGGAGCTTACCCCAATGGGCTTTCTATTAATAATTTATGCTTCTCAAGATTTTAAAAAGCTTCCTGAAATTCAAGTTGATGAAGGGTTACAATACAAGCTCTAATTGACAGTCGGGAACAGGGAAGATTTAAGAATAATCTTTGAAGATGAAGAAGGAACTGAAATAATTTAACTGTTTTACTTTATAAGTATTAAAATGAAATATCCTACTAAGATAAAATACAATGAAGACATGATTTATGGTTTGCAGGATAACATGATGAATATTATCAAACTGTATGAAAAGATTTTTACGAGATTTTCCAAATCGGTACGCGGAACATTTCAGCAAAAACCCAACTGGCAGCTAAATAATTTGGTTTTCGAAGTATTAGTTCGGATTTGATATAACAACTGCTGAGTGCTGCATAAAGCTGATCTCCAAAAAATTTTGTATCGAAAGAGTAGTGGCATCGGGAGATAGCTGCTGGTATGCAAAAATGCATAAGTTGCTGAACACAATATTATTTTGTTACCTACTTGTAATCAAATAAACATCAGATACAAATGAAACCTCAGTTTTTAGTTAAATTAAACAACTTTATTAAGGGTCAAACAGAGTCTTGATCCTAATATCAAATTTTAATATACATAGGTCAAAGCTTAACTCGATCTAAGTAAACGATCAAAACAAGGGACATTACTTCAATATAATATTGGTTTATTGTCCAATGTTAGAATGGAAGTCTGTAAATGAACCTATTAAATTAATAGCAAAGCCAACCAAAGATTTATTAGCAATTGGGTCCACTGAGAAGGGAGTAAATGTAATTAATCGGCTTTTATTGGATAAACAGCGAAATTATTGTGCTCAACTCTCATAAAGTGGAGGGTTGGGTTGGACCTACTTGATGTCTATGTATACCTATGTCTTCTTTTGTGTGGGCTGCATCAATTCTTACGTCATAGATGTCTTCGGTTAGACCGGACCGATGTTGCAGCTCATTCAAGTTATTCAAGCTGTACTGTACAGTACCTAAAAAAAAAATACACAACACTAAAAACAAAACAAAAATATAAAAACAAAAAAATTTATAAAAAAAAAACATTGTATATAACTATCATCATCATTATCATTTTTGTAAATATTATTGACTCACGTACTTTTACAGTTTGCTCGTACAAAATAGCGAGAAACTATACCACTCTCTCTAAAAAAAAAAACTATTTAAGAAAGTCAACATCTACATTTATCTCTAATTATCTGGTAATAAACTACCAGACTAAAAAAAAAAATCCATATTATGCAGCTTAGCCAGCGATTGCTCGCCAGCTAAGCTGCCACCGGCTTTAGATGCAGTTTGCAGCTGTAAGACGTTATCAGGCACCTTTCCGAAACTATCTCGCGACTGTTTTATTCCGAGGATAAAAGTGCCCTATATTACTCCACATCGTGACTAATACAAGTTTTGTGCTTCTACGAGTAATAAGGGCCTTTGGAATTTGTTATAAATTTTGGAAATAATGATCGAATTCTGTTTTTGAACGAAAACAGGACAGACACTAATATTACTACTTTGGAAGCGTCTCTCGCGCAAACTATTCAGTTTAGAAACAAATGATATTAAAAGCGGGAAATGGAGCGGGCTATGCTCGGAGTTTCCCTGCGTGATCGAATCAGAAATGAGGAGATCCGCAGGAGAACCAAAGTAACCGACATAGCTCGCAGAATTGCTAAAATCAAGTGGCAGTGGGCGGGGCACATAGCTCGTAGAGACGATGGCCGTTGGGGCAGGAAAGTTCTCGAGTGGCGACCACGGGCNTTGTGGAAATCCTTGGGGGAGGCCTTTGTCCAGCAGTGGACGTCTTTAGCTGAAACGTAACGAAAGAAGAAGAAGATATTAAAAACCTCAATATAATTTTTGAAGACCTATCCATAGATAATACACACGTATGGGTTTACAGAATACATCTAAATACCAAGTTTCTTTCTACAGTACCTACCTATAGTTATCTTCTTATAGTTTCGGAAAAAGTGGCTGTGACATACGGACGGACAGATAGACAGAGAGACATGATGAATCTATAAGGGTTCCGTTTTTTGCCATTTGGCTACGGAAAACCAGGCCTTAAAGTACGTTTTATTTGCATTGTAGTATTTGAGCTATTCTACAAAACGAATATTAACATTATAGTATGCGTCTATTACATAGTTCCGACCGAACAACGAGACCGCTTCATAGCGGTGGCGTACTCGTACTTAATAAACACAGACTAAACTAACGTCAGACACAGATGGATGCAGTTTTACCTTTTAATAGCAAGCTTTTAATAGAAAAACTTGCAAACATCACATAGAAACGTGATTACTTTCATGTTTCCACGTGATTTTAAAAGTTTATGTAAAAATTATTAATTTTTCGAGCAAGAAACGTGGATTTCGTTTTCATAGGGTTTCTTGCTACTTCCGAGATTGCCTTGGTATTTTTGGTTTCGCTGGTTGACTGTTAACAGATTTGATTTCATTAACCACTGGGCACCACTGGGTCTGTGGCATTTGCAAAAGATTAAAAGTTATTTAAACCTTTTTATTGATATCAATTTTATTATAAATCAATGCAAAGGTTTATAATAACATTGATATCAATCAAATTAAATAGTTTTTGTGTATGTTCAAGTAAATCATGACAAAAAAGTTACGTGTTCTATTATAATATACAGTGTTAATTAACTACCTAACATCATTTAATAATTACTTCTATCATAATTCATTTATTATAATAATTCATTTATTTCAATTTAATCACAATACATTATCCTGTAAGAACACAGTCCGTGTCCTTACTTGGAAGAATTTGGGCTGCCATAACTGAAATTCTTTCGCTTCATTAATTATTTATTAAAGCAATTGTAATTTCTAATTAGGGCATTAATAACATCTTTTGTTGAACAATTTCCATTTTCGCTGAATGTATCCCAGTTACTAATTGTAGGCTGAGTTTGACTTTGATAGAATATTCAAAGTTAAAAGATTTCAGATAAAGTAATTCATTCTTTGTTTTAAGTAGGTACTTCTCGCAATTTTCGGGGCTCTGTCACCCCTCATCACAACTGAAGCGTCAAATTCATTGAGATGTGAACAGATAAGCTATTTTAGCACGGTGTGTTTAGCAGTTACCCAGCTACCAACATTAGTTCTAATGTAGATAATTAATTAAAAACAAAGTTCTAAAGTTCTACTTTTTGTATGTATTTCAACTTAAATACTGGGCAGTAGAATAATAATCTCTTGTGTAACTCATTTTTATTAATAACATTATTATTACGTTATAGTTTTACAAGACTTTATTCTGTGTAATTTATGAACCTTGTACAGCAGTAGGATTAATTCTTATAATAAGTAACTTAGTCAGTCAATCTCTATATTTTTTTCTTAACGTACCAATAGGTCTGCCATTGGCATTAAGTACATACCGGTTGAACTTGGTCCTTTTAAGTCCGACCATGGGATATTCTTTTCTTTCTGGCCACTTGCTAACATAAATAATAACTCCAACTTGTCTAAGTGGTCTAAGTCGCGCTTTAGTAAGACGAACCTCCATCGTCAAACCCCTACGGCAAATGTTGGCTACTCACTGTCACTTTAGTTTTTTGTTTGGACTTTAACATTACAATTTTTTGAGTCGGTTAAACTTAATGCTGAGGTTTTCACATACCGTGCAAATGCATACCCCAGCACCATACATAATGTCTCCAAAACAGGTTTCGTTTTCAGAGTGATGGGCACGTGAAACACAGTTTCTCATTAAGTTCGCTTTAATATTTTGTGATTAAGCGTTTCAGTTTTAATACCATTCCTCCTTTATAAGATAGAAATTATCATTAATTTCAATTTACTTCCATGGAGTTCATAATTAATGTCACCTAGAGACCGTAATAGATGGTGTACCTATATAAAATAGCTTTACCTACGAGCCGTGTAGACTGTAGGTATATGTATATTAATACGCAATACGGTGATGGTGACTTTCTGAATCATCTTTATCGACTTCAACGCACTTACGAGGCAATTTATTCATATTCTCGAAAACGGGGAACTGACAGAGTCAATGCAAACTTGGTCCCGTTATACTGACTTTGTAATTGACTGCCTATATGAATGCACATCTGAGGGCGATGACTCAGATAACCCGTAACCTAACTAACCACAACCACTTAACACGATGAAACATGCTGGTAGGCAACAAAAAATAATAATTTTCACATTGGTACTATTTATATTCCAGTACATACATGTACC